TAGGTGTAACTAATTCTGAATTCAATGTTATTCATACTTTAATCTTAGCTTTCCTTTAACTTTAATGTATCTTCCTATCTATTTATCTAAGTTGGCCTATTGCATTAACAAAGTTAATCTCTTTAACTGTGCATTTTTTCATTCCTTCACTCAGTAAGTATTTACTGAGCACCAACTGGTGAATAGGACAGATATGGTATCCATCAGCATGGAGCTTATCATCTATTTAATCCTTTGCTGGATGCCTAATAGACAAGTCACATTGCTGCTTGGCTCTGGTATATAGTAAGTCCCTGACTTACGAACAAGTTCTGTTCTGGGAGAATGTTTGTAAGGTGGATTCATTCATAATCTAACAAAGTGAATCTTATACAATATACCGGTGAATGTTGACAACTCAAATGTTCATAAATTGAGGACTTGCTGTACTCTAGACTGGGTATAAATGAAACTAATTACTGACAGTGGTTGTAACTCCACCCCGTCTCTCCCACTGATCCCTTTACACAAGGCACACACAGGACAGAATGATTCAATGTCAGAATTTAAACATAGACCTCTGACCACTGGGCTCAGAATCACTCAAGCATAAGATAAAAATGCAGATTTCTAGACTTCTTCCAAAGTCTACCAAACCAAAATAGATGAGAATGAGGCATGAATGCCTATACATTAAGCAGAAGTTTCTGTTACCACGGTATGAAACTGGGAAGAGGGTAGGAAAGGGAAAGAGGGGAAAGATTATACTTTTTCCACTAATATTTGGTGAAATGTTGGTGCCATCTCCTAAAAATATATAACTGAAAGGAAGCAAGGAAGATGCAGTTAAACATACTGTGTATGAATAAAAGCAGTGCTAAAGTACAGTTTTAAAAAGGCTAGCCAGAGATTTAGCTCAGTGGTGCTGCTGTCTCCCTCGCAAGAGCAAGGTACCAAGTTCGATCCCCAGTACCAAAAAAAAAAAAAAAGCTACATGTGAAGCCTTTTTGGGAATATGGAAAAGGTAGAAAGCCATGGGACTGCCCATTCAGTCTTCGGAAGATCTGGACAATTCTGCACATGCAAAGATGACTCGAAATTTATATACAGACACCTCTACCAAATCATCTTCAGCGGACTGAATGTTGTACTAACTCCTCTCCAGAACAGAGGTGGAATGTTCTGGTTTCACTGTAGATTTTATAAACTCATTTCATTTTTGGAATCAGTTTAAGGATTCCTTGTACCTTTTGTATACAACTGGATTTTGTTTTGTTTGTTTTTCTTTTTGGGGGGGAGGTTTGAGATAAGGTCTTGTTTTTGTAATTCAGGCTGGCCTCAAACTTGCAGTGATCCTCCTGCCTCGGCCCCTAAATGCTGGGATTACAGGTGTGTGCCATCATGCCCAGCTGTTTTGCTTTTTTAAAAATAATTTATTTCATATTTAAAACTCATATTAGTCAATGGTTCATGTTCAGCATTATCTAAGCCATTTGTCATTACTGGTGTAGGAAAGTCTTGGAAAAAAAAGATAACATGTGGAATTTATGAAAGGAATTTAGACCTGAGATTCATGGTTTTTTGGAGGGTTTTTTTGGTACCGGGGATTGAATCGAACTCGGGTCCTTGCACTTGCGCAGCAGGTAGCGAAACCACTGAGCTAAATCCCCGGCCCTGAGACTCATGTTTTTGAAAAATCACTTCCTGTTTGTGTTTGGTCTCACTGTGAAAGAAAGGTTGAACTAAATTTTTTTTGACTGAGGAGTTGTTCTTTTTGAGTAAATGCTGGGGGTTGAGAAGCAGTGAGAAGTCTTTACCATTAGGTGTTCTACCATGAGACAAACTCAGTGTTCCCAAGAAAATACTTGCTCCCAGGAAATATCTTATGCATCATGAAACTCTTCCTAGAAGCAGAGAATGTCGGACTGCCAAGAACATCACAGATCACCAAATCCAGAGATACACCTCCTTATTAAATAACAGAGGAAGCTGAGTTTCCACTGGGGCCATGACCTGCTCAGGGTCTCCAAGCCAGTTCACATTAGAACTAGTCCTAGAATGTAAAGGTCCTGGCTGCCACACCAGTGCTCTTTCCATCACCCACTGCTCAGTTTTTCATACTGCTTGATCATATTTCACATTTGGTCCTTCAGCAAACTTTTCATTGGTGATTCTATTACAAACACAGAAGGTTGCAAAGTTCTTCAAAGAAAGGAGTAGATTAAGGGAAGATAAAATAACATTAATTACCTTATGGAAAGTCTGAGAACAAACAGCTCCAAAAAGGCTGATTCAATAAGTAATGTCTGATCTTCTTTGAGGAGATCAGTAAATCCTGGAATCTTTTCTGCCCAGCTTCTGGATACATCAATGGAGGCTGTCAGGAGGTTGTAGAACTGTTGCACATGCTCAGCTTCTGAGCCTGTAGCAGCCTGGTCAGTGGGACAATACTAAAATGCAAAACACAGAGAACAGTGTCATCCCATTTCTGTGGAAATACATCATTTGCAAATTGGCTCTTCCAGACTGCCAGTCCGTAAATCTTTACTTTTAGGTTCCAAGGTTTACAAAATCCTTTTATCTTCATAGTCTCATCTGATTCTCACAATGGTCCTCTGACTTAAATAAAATGATTTATTGTTATTACTAAATAGATTAAGAAGTTTGCACAAGTTCCATTAGTGCAGTGATTTTCAACCTTGACTGTGCATAGCAGTCATCTGGGGAAGTTTAAGAAAACACTCTTGTCTGGGTCCTATGCCCAGAGATTCTAACTGATTGGTCTGGGGTTAGGCGTGGCCAATAGAAATTTTAAAAGCTCCCCAGGTGACTCCAATTGGCAGCTCATGTTGAGAACCACCACTCTAAGGGTCTGGGTCTGAGTGAATTGCCATGGTCTACTGATTCTATTATAGCATAACAGTCTCCCCACAAGATGCCACAGAACCCACTGGTTCTCCAAATATGTTCTCTGGACCAGAAGCATCAGGGATACCTGGGAATGTGCTAGAAAGGACAGTCACAGGCCTCACCCCAGGAACTCTAGGAAAAGGCTCAGCACACTGTTTCATCAAGACCTCCAGGTGGCTCTTGTGTATACACAGAATTAACCAGTATGAGAAATGAATGGGTTTTGCTTGCTGTTGATGGATTTCTGTGAGACAAAACAAATCAGGGTGTATACTTCCTGGCAGAGCCCATGTGGCTGTGTGACATTAGATTTGGGACCTATGGATACTTGTATTATCAAAATTTAAATAAAATTTAAACGTCAGTTCCTCATCACATTAGCCATATTTCAAATGCTTAATAGAAAATGTGGAAATGGAACATTTCCATCACTGCTGAAAATTCACTGGACAGCACTGATTGAGAAGGAAAAGGGGAGGGGAGAAAAGAAAAGAAAAGAAAGAAAGAAAAGAAGAAAGAGAGAAAGAAAGAAGGAAAGAAAGAAGGAGAGAAAGAAAAGAGGAAAGAGAAGGAGAAAAGAAGGAAAACAGGAAGAGAGGGAGGGGACAGGGACAGGGACAAGTCTTTATGTCTCTACCCAGCTTTTGGATATTTTGGTAGAAACATGAGTTTGCTTGAATCACTGAGGGAAGAAAAATTCTGCTTCAGGCAGGAAGATTGATGTAGCAAGATAATAATCAAGGGACAATCAGTAGCATAGAGATTTAAGAGATATACAAAACACATATAAATGTACACATCATTACCTTTATAACACAGGTAAGTATGAATTTGTATTGTGTCTCTTAATTACTTTTCATGGGACAGAGATTTTAACTTGTATTGCTAAGAAACTTTTCCAAGTTAGGAACCAACAGTGATCTGGCAGGAATTAAACTGGCCGTGGGATTGCAAGTCCTACACCTCCTGGTATTAATATGCTTGATGTTACTAGCTGGTAGCCTGGTGGGATGGTTTTTGGGATCTTTAAAAACCATTCTGTTTCTTTATTTGGAACTCTCCAGAATTGTATTCACTGGCCCCATGTTTCTGTCAACAGCACAGTGACTGGCACATAACTGATGAAATGCTTGTTGAATAGCTTTTTTCAGAGAAAAAATTGCCTAGGTTTACCACAAGGCCAAGCCTGATTGGAGGAGAAACAGTTAATAAGCAGAATTTATGTATTTACTGTAGAGTTACCTAGGTATGAGGAAATGAGGCACTAGGCTTAATTGGGTCTTGTTCTCTTTGTGTTTTTCCAACAGGCAGCAAGACATAACTAAAAAAAAAATCAGATAGAGAGCCTAGATAGTTTAATCCAAGTTTTGTCCTGGTCCCTGATTTATAAATTAATATGGTGTTATTTCATGTCTCTGAGCCCTAGTTTTCTCCTTTGTAAGATGGGGATAATAATACCTTCTTCAAAATTTAGTAGTTATGATTAAATGTGATAAGGGAAAGATCAGACATGTAGAACAAGTTTAACAAATGATGACAGTGATGCTACTGAGAAGGGTCTGGATACTTGGATCTCTCGCCATTCATTAGCTTACACATTTATTGAATGGAGGAATGGGCTGAAGCAAGGGTTTCCTAATTTTCATCCTGACTTTCTACGGCACTGAGTCCAGTTTAGAGTGCAGGATCCCCTGTTCCCAACAATCCCACAAAGTACCTGGGTTCTATGAAGTTCTGGACATTGCATAAAGTCACAGGCCTTGGAAGCAAAGTCCAGGGGAAGGAGCCAGACCCCTTTCCCAAGGACAGTCAAGAATGCTGCGTGACCCTGTGTCAGAAACACTTTCTGCCACCTCGTTTCAGTGCATACACTCTTAACTGGAGACAAGTGGGGCAAAAAAAGGATTTAATTTTTTTAAACTTTCCCCTGTTTTATTAAGATAATTTCATAATATTCTTTGAGGGCAGGATAAAATTCAGGGCAGAAACTCCTTTGAAAAGCTGGCAGAATTACATGTGAAACTTCTGAGTAAATGGTAAAAGGAAGTAAAGTACATTAGACTAGGTTGCAGGACTGACTGTAAGGTCTCTGGTACTGACCTACTGTGCAGCTATACACAAATCACTTAATCTTTCTGGGTCTCTTTGTCTCAAACAGAAATTGACTGGATTTGCTGCTCCCTCAGATTTCTTCTGCCTCTTGCAATCAAAGATTCCAAATATTGCTAAATCATACCAGGTATGATGTCATTGCCTAAAATTTGACACTAATCTAGCATTATTTTAAATAGTGGGTTAAACAGAGAGAAAAAGATACACACTTTCCCCAGGAGTGGAATCTAACACCCTCTCTGCACTGACTGCCCTGTAACATGGCTTACACCTCAACAATTGTTCTGCTCTCAGTATTTGTTCAGAATCCACCAGACCGTATAGCTTTCACCCAGCATACTCTGCAGGCTTCTGCTCCTGCTGGGCCTATATTTCATGCCTCTTGCACTCAGGGAAGAGCAGTCTCTGCCTACTCTGTGTGTGTATTTTTCTCTGATGGAGCTCAGCAAGAAGGAAAGCCAGCAGGCCTGGCCCGACAGTCTTCAGCCAGACCCTGTAGGCTTCACCTGCAGTGATTCTGGTCCAAGTCCCAGAATTTTGGAGCCAAACTGGATTCAGCCTGATCCACCAGTACCCTGAGGGTGACTGGAGGGTCAGCATCCAATGCTGGGAGAAAAGAAAAACCATCTCCTTTATTACACATAAAATTTAAAGAAATAAAACAAAACATCCTACATTCTCTGCCTGGACTAGTAGTTTAAACCTTGAGTTGGAAGAACTGGGGCCCTTTTCTGCTTCTCTGCTCCCCAGTAGCCCATTTTTTCTGGGTGGGACAGGTTTGGGTTCACCAAAGAAAATCTAGAAATATCTGTTTATTGTTATGCCAACACAAGACAAATACAGACAGATTTTTTAAATGAACTTTTATCCTGCTTATGCTAATTTTTCATTCCAGCCTGCATGAATACTCGATCCACTGGATTGTGGATTTAGTGGAGTCAAAGACACAATGTTACATTCAGTGAATTTCTCCAAAGCACCTGGAATGAGAATCTAGAGCTACAAATAATACCAATAGACATTACTTTAACTAAAATGAATCTCATAGGGCAATAACACAGCCCATAAAAATCAGACTTCAGCAATAGCTTACTCCTAAAATAAGTTATTTGAATGGTGACCACCAGTGCTAAAAAAATTATTGATGTGATGCTTTAACAGCAGAGTGGAACTGAATATTTATCTCATTTTCATTCCTGGATAAATATGTAAAATAGCCTAAGGACTTGTTTTTCTCCCTTTAGTATGTTACTTTTCCCTAGGACTTTATAGTTCTAAAAATTTTAGATCTGATCATTCTATTGTCAAACTATCTATATACTTAGGTTCTTACACTTTTAAAAAATGGCCATCTAAAAAATTGTCAATGAAAAGAAAATTGGCCATAAATATATTTTCCCGAAATTTCTTTTTTCTGACCTAACTGCCTGTCCTTTTGCCCCCCAAAAAACAAGAAACCAAAAATTCCCCCACTTTTCACCAATGACATCACTGCTGTTATGTATTTACTTTCACTTTTTACTGCTGTGTAAGTTCCATGAAGGCAGGGTCTTTGTCCTATTCATCAATCAATGTGTCCATTGTCCTAGAACAATGTCTGACACCCAGCAGGCATTTAATAGCTATTTGTTAAATGAATTCATTGCTTTCTGGAAAACATATTATCTCTATTGATTGTCCTTTCTCAATTTTAACAAAAACTGGGCAATTCAAGGTAAAATTAAATTGTCATTATTAATCTATATTGGTGGCTCTCAAACCTTAGTGTGCCAAAGAATCATCCACCAAAGCACTTATTAAAATACAGATGCTTGCCTGTTTCCTTTTTTCCTCAACTCTGGTTCAGGAGGTCTAAGTATGGTCTGGAAATCTGCATTTTAAAGGAAACACCACAGCTCTTTCTGGTAGAGGCAGACTGGGTTCCAGCTCAGGGAAATGCTAACTTGTACTCTTATGTGGAACTGTAGCAGGAATAAGGGCTGATGGGTCAGGGAATGACAAGGCTGGAAGGGATCACAGGTATGCAGTTGGTCCATTCTCTACACTACTCATATAAGGACATTTAGGTCCACAGAGGGATAGGAACTGGCCTAAAATCATCTAGTGAATTAACTGGTGTCAGTTTGAGACTGCTTTCTGAGAAGCTTCATGAAACCACTCTGCCAGTCTTCATGCTGCTTACTCCCTAGGTCTAACACGTGCTAGGCACATGGTTTCTTACAGGCTATCTTGTTAACATTTAAATGCCATTTGCTGGTGCCTGGTTTTATCTGAGCAATATTTCTTGTATTTGCAGTTTGTGTCTGCATTAACTGGAACCGATTACCAGAAATCATCTTAGTGTGCTGAAAAATACTTGGAGTGACCAACAATGAGGACATTAAGTATATTTCCTCATAAGTAATTATGCAGGCGTTGAAGCCAAGCTCAGTGTCTATATATACTTGTACAGCTAAATTAAAAGCAACTGTGGGGCAGAGAATAGCAGCATTTTGAGGAGAAACAAATCAAATGTGACATGTTTTGACTGCACTGATGTACAATGATCTGAGCTCATTTATGAGGGAGAGGAGTTTGGCCCAAAGGAGAAGCGAAGGTCCCAGAGCCAGGAATGCGTCAGAGCTCAGGAGCTCTCTTCTGGCCCCTTGAAACATTCATTCTCTCTGTGACTTGGAACAAAACTCTTCCCTTTCCCACTAACAGGGAGAAAACTGCTCACTTTCTACCTTAAAGACACATATGCTGATACATGAGGGTTAAAACATACTAGGCTGGCAAAAAATCTTCTTTCTTTTTTGACCTGATTCACTGGGGGAAGATGGCACCTTTAATAAAGTGTATTGGTCAAATCAACTCTCTCAGGCTCAAACATGACAGGGTAAATTTAAAATGTAGTACATTATAGATACATACTAAAATGCTCACATTAGTTACTGTTGAGGAGTGGAATCAGCAGGTATAAAAGAAAAAAGATGTTTTTCATTGTATCCACATCTAAATGGTTTGCCTTTTTATTTTACTGTTGTTGTAATTTTAGAAAAATCTAATACAGTTTCTATTAAAAATATAATAAATTGCCATTAAATAACAGAAGCAGTATGATAAAATAAAAACACTACCTTGAGTGATATGATTTGGATCTCATCCTAGCTCTGCCACTGATCTTTGGCAAGCAAATTAACCCCTTTAACCCTTATTTTACTTGTCTAAAGTTATAGGGGTTGGATTAGATGATCTCAGGGCCCTACCAGTTCTATGAATTTGCAAATATTAAATACTAAGGGGAAGACATTATGAAAGTTGAATTTCAACAAATGACAGTCTTAAAAATGACTGAAACCATAAATTATGCCCCACAGAGCTGGGGGCCTAAGTGAAATTATCTAAGAATATATGGTGATGAACAGTTCAAAGTAGGTACTCAAAAAATTTATTTGTTTCATTCATTTCATGTACTAATGGTTTGAGAAGAAAGCAAGCTCAATTTTGGTAAATACCAAGTTACTTAACCATATATAGTCTTATATGTGTATGCATATACAAATACGGGCATTTAAAGACAATAAAGTAAACATCAAAATCATAAAATCTTAAGAGTTGGAAGAGACTTAATGTCATCTAGCATAACCTTTCCCCTTGTGAGGAATCCTGTTACATGTTCTCCTTGATTACTTCTCGTGTTGTTGATCTCATACTTTGACAGCTGCTTATATGGCCAGAAGAATTCGCCTGTCCCTCTCCTTCTCTCCCTACATCTGCCAGCAGGAGTGACAGTCCCTTTTTTTTTTTTTCTCGCCAGAAGGCAAAAGAGTGACCTAATTCCACCAAATCTTCTCCTATTCTGTATTTGTATGTCCATTTCCTCCAACCATTCCTTACAAGTTTCCAGAAAGAGCGTATCCATATGCCTTTTAAACCCCAGCTTAGAACTGGACTCAATTCTTGAAGTATGATCTAACAGGACAGAGTCAATGGGACCACTCTAAATTTAGTTCTGGTCTCATAGTTCTAGCACTGCAGCAGGTAATTCAGCATCCCTCACTTTCACCAGACACAGATTTTGTTGGTTTACATTGAATGTCTATGGAACAAACTCCGGAGCTTCTTCTTAACATGAACCACTGACAAGCCAAGGCTTTCCCATTTTTTATATAATTCTAAAAGCTGAGCTTCACATTTATTTTTGTTAACTTTCTTCATGATGGTTGCAGCCCTTCCTGTTCCAACCTGTCGAGATCACTCTGAATGTTGATACTGACATCCATCATATTAGCTATCCCTCCCAGCTTTCTGTCATCTGCAAATGTGATCAGCATGCTCCTATGCCTTCATCCAAGTTTTTGATGAAAACTCACTGTATTTTTTAAAAAGTCTTTTAATTTAGTTGATTTTGGTCCAATTTTTGATAATTTTTTAAAGCTATCTAAAAGCAGGAGAACCCAAGCTATGAGGTTCAACTTGATTCCAAACAATGCAATTAAAATAAATATGCTTTGCAAAATCGAGCCAGGCCCATAGGTATTATCAATATGACACAGACTCTGGCATGGTCAATCTGCTATTTTGGACAAAGCTAACAATTAAATTGGATAAATGTTTGTTGATGAGGATGATGACTCTAGACTAACAGACTGAATGGTGCAGAGGCAAGCAAACACACTAGATTGATTTTTCAGTGTGGAGACAGTTCACAGCTGGGACAGCTCAGAGGCTGGGGAGGGTTTGCCATTGAATGAGTAATTAGGCCATGTAGAGTGATAGTTAGATAATTTGGGGCCAAAATATCACTTTGGGGGCCCATCTTCTCTGGACTTTCCATCAATAGTGATGTCAAATGCCCTAGAACAATATCAGATTGTGGGCTGTAGCCTTAGCCAAAGCAGTGCCTAGAAGCTCAATTAATGCAGACCAATTACATAAGGAGAAGGCCAGGGTGCTTCAGGGAGGAGAAGTCTTCACTCCCAAATATTTATCTAGCACCCACTTTCACTGAAATCAACAAGGCAATGAAACCTGGTATTAAGCAGCACAGATTTTGGGTCCAACATACTTGGCTCCTAATTTTATCTCGAATGTATGTTAGCTATGTGACCTTGGACAAGTCAGCCTGTTAGACCCTCCTAGTTTTAATTTCCTCATCTGTGCAATACAGATCATAATGCTTATCTTAATGGCATTGCTGAATGGTGCCTGATATATGTAATGTTCATACTTACTAGTATGTTCAACAAGTGGGTAGAGGAAGAAAGTTTGGTTAAGGAAATAATAGAGTACTGTGCTAAATCTTTGACACATAATATCGTATTAATCTTCATAAACAACTGCAAGAAGCACATATTATTACCCCATAACACAGACAAGGAAACTGAGGCATCAAAAGGTTTAATCAGTTGCTAGTAAGGGTCATTCAGCTCGTCAGTAAATGATGGTGTTGGGATTTTCATCTAGGCCTGCATACTTTCAAAGCCCACACCCTTAACCACTGCATTATTCTGTAATATTATTATTCAAGACTTGAGTTTAGTCAAGAGATGCTACTTGTAATCAGAACAAGAGTCCTCAACATTTGGTGCTAAGAATCTACTATGCTTTTTATATGGAGTCTTATGATCAGGTGCAGAGAGGAGGCTTCACAGTCTAATGAGGGTGGAGATGAGAGAAAAAAGATCACAGCAGGTAACCAATCATTTCTGTCAACACTGCAACCTGCAAGGAGGGCAATAGCAAAGGCACACTTACACTCTTTGCCAGACATTCAGCCAGATGCTTGAAATGCTGGCTAGATCTGGGGAAGGCAACCAAATAGTGGCTGCCAGTCAGATCAACCAACTGGGGACCCCGGCACTGTTCTCTCTTTATCTATGTTTGCAAGTTTTCTTGTCTTCCAGTGGAGATAGTGATTCCTAGAGTTCATGGTTGTTTAAAGGATCAAATGAAACAATTTACTACTATGTCTAGCATATAGAAATTATTCAGTATCTGTGATATTTTTCTCTTTCCTTCTCTCTTCAGTCAGACCCTGTTTTACTAGAAGTTTTCGTTTCTAAATCTCTTTTTAAAAGACCTTACAGTAACATTTATACATTTTCTCAGAAAATCTTGTTTCATGGCTCTTCACTGTATTATTCAAATTTGAAGGGAATTTGTAGAATTCATACTGATAAGATTTTATTACATCCCTATGAAATAAAAAATGTTGATGTTTTGGTTGAGTTAAATAACAACACTGGTAATATTATGGTTTTCAAAATGTTCCCATCATTCTGTGTGACTGATGTTCACTACACCCCTCTGGGGTTAAATATCATAATCATCTCCATGGTAGGGAAGAGAAAGCCAGGAGCAGGAGCCAGGTGACACAGGCAGGAAGCAGTGAGGCAGAGGAATCCATTCCAGTCCTCCTCACACTTCCTGATGTCCAGGCCAGAGCTTCCTAGCCATCAATAGTCTAATCCTTCTGAATAAGCAGCAGATTAGTCAATACTGATGGAATAGACAAACTGCTTAAGGATAACTTGAGGCTCAGTCACATAGTTTGATAACAACATGAAAAAAGAAGTAGCCATTTTGTAGAGATCAGGAAAGAAATCCATCTACAAATTGTAGTTCACCTGTGCAGATTTTCATTGGCACAACCACCAGGAATCCTGCAACAATGAGTATAACAGGTGCAGCACTGTTAGGGTCATTTGTTAAGGCATTTAGAGATCCAATAAGGCAAACATGATTTGGTGCAATGGATGGACTGAACTGCTAAATGAAATGAGAAACACAGAAAAGGTATCAAAAATGATTACCATGGTGCCAGGCCCAAAGTCATTCAATCAATTCTTATTAGTATGGAAGTATCATGAATAGAGATACTGATAATTCAGTCAAAATCAGAATATATAAGACTTACTCTAGAATAATCAAGATCTCTGGGTGTTGAGTCTGTTAAAGCTCGGACAAGGGCATTCATCATACAGATTGGAGGAGAAGGTGGAGAGGGCTGAGAAGGTTCTTGATGTAATGGGCTCTTTGGTTTGGAAGGCAGCCGACCTCTCCTCCCTTTTAGACTATCTGTACGCACAACTGATACAGAGAGAAAGAAACAATCTTTAAAGATTATGTCATGAAAAAGCATAACTCTCAAAAAAAATCAAAATACATGATAGTAGGGCAATCATTAATAACAACAACCACTTAAAAGTGACAATAAGTTTGGAATATTACTCAGTAATTTCATGAGAGTTGAAGCTAATATCAAAAAAGACACTCCATAGTTACAGTTGGTAGTGAATTAGGCCTGAAATTTTCCTTTTTAAATAGAACACATATGCATGCACACAAGCTCTCTATTGATTTTGAGAAATCAGAACAAGAAGTCCGCAGGTATTTTTAAATGTAAATATATTCCGTACAAATAAAATGTTGGAATGAAAGAGTAACTAGGAAAATTCACCATCCTTACATAAATATTAACATTTTTTCAGTGATGTCTGAGAATAGCAAACTGGATGAAAAGCATAATATCCATACCTTCTTTAACCATCCCGACACTGAGACACTTCTGAAATCGACAGTACTGACATCGGTTTCGACGTCTCTTGTCTACTGGGCAGTTTTTATTTGCCAGACAAACATATTTTGCATTTTTCTGCACTGTTCTCTGAGAAAAATACAATACAGAGATAGTCAACTAATAGTTTCTGGAAAGAGGTAGGATCTGACAAGATGTATTTTAATTACAATGTGAAAAGCGACAGTGCAATTCGTATAATTAGATAAATTTAATTTCCTAACACGCTAGCCTGCAGGAAAAACAATTTTATTAGTGTTAGCTGCTGACAATGAAAATCATCTCGGATTGTTCTGAAGCAAGTCTCAGGAGAAACCCAACTCTGAAGGATAAAATCATATCTGAAATTACCAGGTCAACATATCATACCTTGGAGGATTAGATTACCTCCATTTTTAATATCCCTTTGGGGACAATTTTCTACTTGTTCCACTCCCCTGATTATTGCTGACCTTATTAAAATAAAATCAAAATTATCTGGGATGTACTCTGTATGCTATCATGATTGTAAGTCAAATATCACAGTAACTGGCTTTGTTACTCAATAGAGATGAAATCATAAAAAGCAAAACCAGGATATGTTTTGTTAAAACATATAGGAAATAATATTCTAATTAAAAAGAAATTCATTTAATTGGTCTTTGTAGTTTATCTTCAAAGAATATATATAGATATACATATACATATATAATACACTAGCCATTTTTGATTTTTGAAAACAAAATCTTAAATTGAATATAGAATTTATTATCACATCCAAGAAAGAAACAAAAATCCCCAAAGATAAATAAAAGTGAGAGAAAGAAATATGAAAGCCATATATTTTCAGTGAAACTTCCCATTAAGAGGTTATTTCATAAATGACTATTGACACAGACACCAAAATAGCCATATTGCAAAAGGAACATCATAAAAACTGAGCTTGGATATAAAAATAACATCATATTTTTCAGAATCACATTGAATTTTTAAATGACACATGGAAAAATAATTAAACATACTTTATGCTCCAAATGTAAAAAAATGCTTGTTTTTTGTAAGTGAAAATATTTGTGCAAGTGGATACATTTTTACCACTTACAGTGAAATTGTTCAGAAATTATCTGGATGTATACAACTTTAAATAGAGAAGAAAGTTGTTATTTATTTGGAAAGTCTGAGCTGCATATAAAAGAAAAAAGCCCAGATAACTTGGGGTTTGTGATCTATTTTGTATCCAAAATTCTAGGTTTACCTTCAACCTTTTCTTTATTTTCAGTGGTCCTCAACTTTCACGTTTCAATTTTCACCCTGTCACATTTTAAGTTTATCTTAGGGTATAGCTAGTAAACCACCGTCACGTAAATTAAAAAATTTAATGAAGCCAACCTATTTCAAGTCTAAGACATATCTTTCCAGTTTGAAATGCAAAATTCTAAGACACAAACATACTCCTGAGTTTCAGCATTTAAATTCTCAGGAGTCTGTAAGGATAGAAAACTCGTGTTTCCCAAATGATGCTCTCTTTCATTGAACATGCAGTAATATCTAACACTCTATTTCTTGGTATTGTCCTCAAGACAATACACCAATTTAAGCGCTGGTGGCATTTTGCTTCAGGTATAAATTTTCCCAATAACCTGAAGCCACCTCCACATTTGTGTGTGCCTGCACAGTTGAAGGACAGGGAGAGATCGTTATGGTTCAATCACTGAATTCTCATCATTAACTGCACTTCATGTCACATTTTTAAAGAATTCAATTTAATGGTAGAAAGCCACTGGGTAAAACCTGCTCCTCTTCCCTTAATTAACAGATCTGTGGGGTGGTTCTGCCCCATCCTGTCTCCCCCTCCTTTTAAGTATAGATTTGTTTTCAAGGGATTGCTGCAAAAAAGGGAAGCTGTTGGGAAACACTTAATGGACATTTTTAGATTCATAATGAATAACTACTCTCAGATTTTGGTAAACTCTCAATTATTTAGGAGTGATTCTATTTGCAGATTATACATACTTCTTTTAATTGTTTTTCTTTCTTTTCTCCCTTTCTGATTTCTGCTCCACTGCCCTTCAGCATTTCCACTGAAATGCTGTAAAAATCAAACCTGCTAAAGGAATGCAGTTACTTGAAAGTAGCCCCAGTAAAACTTGACTAGTTAAGATAGAGGAGGAAAAAAAAGACTAATCTTAGTGGCAAAGAAGGGGAAAGATTCTGCATTTAAAACTTCATAATTGTGCACACCTGTAGGGCATTTAACATATTGGAAAGTCTTTCCACAAGCATTTTACCATTTATGTACAGAATTCAATTAATGACATGATTACCATCCTCACATAAAAAATAACTGTTGGTTGTTCATATGAATAGCCACCTATAAACATATATTTTTACAGATACTTTGTAATTTTCATTTAATAATAAACTTATTTTATGGCCTTTTAAAGATTATAAAGTGCTCTTGTATAAGTTTAAATCTCATTCACTACAGCCATTCTCTGAGTTTTATTTCCTGTTAAGGAAACAGAGGATTAGAGAGAGAAGTGTCATGCCCAGTGCTCCTATCTGAGTCTTCTGGACTCGATATTACTGCACTGCTCCCAGATACATCCTATTGTAGTCCTAAATGCTAGTTACTCAAGCAGCATCTCATTTCCCTTTTTCCTCTGTCCTGCCCAGCATTGGAGCCTAGGCGGTGACTTGTGCGGGTCTGAAATAACGGTCAGTGGGGTGAGAAGAGAAGACAGTGCCACAGAAGTGTCTGAAGGAGTCAATGACAGAAGGCAGAACAATAAGAGAACTGGGTTTCTCTGCCTGCCCACTCCCTCAACCCCTCTAGCAGTGGAAAGAGCATGGAATTCTGGAACTGAGAGGCCAGCTGGACCATCCCACATGCCCACATGTAGCTAAACCACTGTGGAAAGCCTGCCCAAGGGTTTGCCTCTCTAGAGTTCAGCTTCCTCAGGGATAAGGTATGGGGAGGCTCAGACGCTTCCACTGCAAAATTCTCTTCCAGGTCTGAGAGAATGGACAGTGGTGAAACCTGGTACTGTATATGGCACAGAGGTAAGAAAGGGTTCCTAGAAGATACAGTGGATTGGTGAGACCCTAACTTCTATCTTCTATGATGCAGCTACCCCAAACCGCATGTGGGCAACTGCCCCTGTCTACTGTGCCATGACAGGGCGTTCATTTGGAGTCATGCAAGCATGAGTTGTCATCCTGCTTCCATTTTGCTCCCTGAGTGTGTGTCCTGAGGCAGATGAATTGCCTCTCTGTTTTTTTTTTCCTCTGTCCTGGGGATCAAACTCAGGACCTTGCGCTTGGGAGGAGCTAAATCTCCAGCCTCCGAATTGCCTCTTTGAACTACCATATCTATGAAACAAGGATAATTATTATCTACCTTCAAGATGTTGTTGATAAATATAGTGAGCTGCCAGAATCCCACATCAGGTCTTTCTGATTTTAGAGTCCTAGCTGTTACTGTGAAGACTGAGACAAAAAAGTCCAGAGCCTGCCATGTGGACCCTCCCCTCTGACATCCTGAAGGGACTGAAAGGAATGTAAAGAGCTTTCAGCATTGTTGAAGTCACAGATCCTTTTGACAATCTGCTGAAAGCTCTCTTCAGAAAAAAAAAAATGCTCATAAGGCAATATCAGGCCAGGAGATTTGCAGACCCCTCAAGTCTATCTGGGTGGCCTTCTTGTAAGTTGACCTCAAGTTAAAAACCCCTGAGAAAATGGGCCTGAAAATGCTAGGAAAGGTGATAGGTACACACAGCTTATTGATTACACTTCTCAAACTAGAAAAGACAATGATTACTCCTATACCACTGGCTGCAGGAAGGGGCTGGCCTGGAAGGGGGAGGAGAGGGGGCGCTAGGAGGAGGAGTGTGCTCACCTTGAAGAAGCCCTTGCAGCCCTCACAGGTTCGTACCCCATAGTGCTGGCAGGCGGCGTTGTCCCCGCACACAGCGCACGTGCCCTCTCCAGACGATGAGCTCCTGTTGGGCGGGGACGGCAGGCTGGGGCTCTCGCCCAGCAGGCTGGACGCGGTAGGGGATGCTGTGAGGCTGAGCGGCGGGAAAGCCAGCGCGGCCGTCCTCTTGGCCAGCGGCAGCCCGTAAGGATGGCCCTCGAGTGCGCCAGCCTGGCTGCCCGCAGCGGCTGCGGCTCCCCTCGGCAGGCTGAGCGCAGCAGGGGCCGTCGGGTCGTAACCCAGGTGGTGGCCGCCGGGGGCGGGGCTGGGTGTGGGCGGGTGCGGCGGCGAGGGCTTGAAGTGGAAGAGGGGGAAGCGCGCGCCCGCCACCGGGGGCACCGTCTTCATGGGCGGGTCCAGCAGGGGGCCGGGCGCGATGCAGCCGGGCACCGAGGAGGTCAGCGCATCGTCCCACAGCGCCCCCGCCTGCTGCGGGAAGCCCGGCGTGGTAGGGGTGGACGGCGGGGACTGCTTGAAGAACATGGACGTGCTGGGCAGCACCTCATCCTCTGGGCCAGAGCGGGTTGGAATGGAAGGCTGCTGTTGCTGGTGATGATGGTGGTGGTGGTGGTGGTGGTGGTGGTGATGGTGGTAGCCAGGTGCGCGGCCCTCTTCCATTTTGATCAAAGGCCGTGGCCCAGAAGGCTGCATTTGGTACACGCAGGAGGGCTTGATTTCGTAGCTGCTGGAGTAGCCTTCCATGAAGGTACTGAAGCTGGGCAGGGACGTTGTGGCTGTGGCCGAGATCTCTGTGCTACCAAGGTCCATGGTCAGCTTGGCATAGTCAGGGTTCATGATCTCCGTGCTGTATTCCGAGCCATACGTCTGTGCTGCATAACTGGACCCTGGAGGCGAAGGGCTATACTGGGCTTGCACGCAGGGCATATCTGTAGGGCCAGGGAGAAAGGTGGCTCAGAAGCAAGTCAGCACTTTCCCTAGCTAATAGGCAGTGCTGGATTCACTGCTGTATAATCTGGGAAACACAGGAAGTGACATCTTCTTCTCCTTCTGGTAGCACAGACTTAAACGCCCCACTCTTACTTTCTTCCTCCCTGAGAAGACAGCTGAATCCCTGACAGACAAAAGGGACTTCAATACCCATCTTCTCTCTTTTGCTCTGTTCTCCAACAGATCTGAGATCTTGATATCTTCCCTCATAAGATAAGCCCAAAGATGTGTTTAAAACTGGCTTTGAGTCCAATAAACTAATTAGAGTAGCTTCCTAAGCCACAAGCTGGGGGGGGGGGCGGGTACTGCAAATGCTCAGTTGGTTAATTTTGGGAGAAAGAGACCAGTGGTCCCTCAAGTTACACACAATGATTCGTAAGCCTATGAGTTAGTCCAAAAGATGTCCTGTGTGGGACTTACTGGCCAAGAAAGACAGTAACATTCTAACATTTTCTGAGTGCCAACTGAAGCTGCCCACACAAGTTGTGGTTGCTTTTTCCTATCCCCTCCTCACTCCTCCAAACAAGACTAGCAGCCTGCACAAACTGGACCCCTGGTGATGACTTCAGCCAGCTAGCTGGAGAGGTGGGAACGTAGGCCCAGAGGCCCAGGAAATGGACTGGGGGAGTTTGTGCCATCTGCAAAGAAAAAAATCAGCAGCTGAAAAAAAAAACCCCACAAAAAAACTCACCAAATCTGTTCTCTGCTATACAGTGTGTGTGCATATATATATATATCAATTCTGACTAATAAGATACATATCAGTAACTGTTTTATTCTAACAATTAATACCTATCATTAAATAGGCAAGTTAGTTGAGGTATTTTCTTATGACAAAGGAATTAGTTCCCTAGAAAAGAAGAAAGCATTTTCTGAATAGATTTGGTTTCTTTGCCAGTTTGATTATTTTGAGCCTCCAAAGTGACTGGTATCCAAGGTGCTTTCTATTGTTCAGAGGCCGAACTAGGTGAAGTCTTGAGAATTACTGGCTCTAGTGAACGATTTATCTAATTATTTTCCTCCTTTATGGTTAAACAGAAGTGATAAAATGGGCAGTTTCTGGTGGTTGGTTTTTCTGAGCCAAAGGAAAACCAGGTGCTTAAAGTCTGTTTAGAGTCTACAATGTAAAAGGTGTGACTAATAGAAACGTGAGTACTTCAGATTTCCTTTAACATCTTTCTCTTACCCACATTTCCAACTCTGATTGAGTCATGCGTGTATGGGATGAAATCTTGACTTGAAAAAAGGTGCTGAGGGCCTGTTGGAAGAAGCAATGATGAGGAGGGGCCAGTTCAAGCCCCCCCCCTTTTTTTAAGCAGGCCCTTACAAGCACACTCACTAGGTTTGACGCTAAAGGATTAGTTATCTTGGTGTCTGTCCAGCTGTTGGGATGAAGTGAAAGGCTAATTATTTACAAGAAAGAATATTACCAGGTTTTTCATCTATTCTTCTGCAGCACCTCTAGGATTTCTCCTAGTCTTTTCTGTCATTCTTTACTGCCCTTCCCTACCTATTGCTCTTCTTTGTGGCTTTCTGAAGTTTCCAGCTGGAAGATGAGCTTGCTGGGACTGTGTTCTACTTATCTGCATATCTCTGGAGCCTACAGAGGCCTGGCACCTAGTATCCCTTTAACAAATTTGTAAAGAGGTGGTACAAATCAAACCTGCTGTCCTTTCTTTTGCCAAACTCACATTTACTCCTTAGCTTTCAGCTCAAATGTTTTTCCCTTTGCCTCCGAGCTTCACTGATCTAAGATATTGGGTTTATACAAACAAAAATGCCCCTTTTGCTCTCAGTGATTCCATAATTTGCAAATACCTAGGATATAAAAGGACAAAAATTAAGACATTAAAATGTATAAAAGACCCCAATATATTGGAGTATTTGCAATTTGCTTAGGAAAAATAATTCCGAGAAATCCAACGCTTATTCTGGCTTTTCCACTCCTAGCAACAGGGTGTGGTACACAGAAGAGCTTCGTGTAGGGAAGTCACCTGTACTGTGAAATGCCTGGCCAGAAGTGACTGTGCTGGCGGTGACAAGTTGACCAGCCTGCCCACTGGACGTGTGGTTCCCCCACCCATTTCTCCCTGTGCTGGAGAAAAAGGGATAGCAGTTTCAGACCTACCTGGAGGGTATCTTGCTCGCTGAATGGTGGGGCTGGGGGTCTCTCCAGCAGAGGCTGAGAGCGTTGGAGGCAGGGACGTCAGGCGAGGCGAAGCTTCGGCGGTGCTGCCTGGCTCCGCTGAGGGTCCAGGCTCAGGGCCCGGGCTTGCCGGGCTGCGCTCTCCCGCAGTGGGCTCTGCAAGCACCGGGCGAGAGGAAAGAGATCAGGATGGATCACCCAGCTCTGGGCCAGGCGAACTGGGGGAGTGGTGTCTAGAAAGGCTAGTTAATTACAAAGAATTATCCTAAGAGTAAGTAAAGGTGTTTAAATGGTGCCGGAGTCCCTGGGCAAGAATCGTGTAGCCTTGGGGAAGGCTGAGGAAAGGCTGTCAACACCCACTGCATTCACTGCAGTTTTGTGGCACTGGAACGGAGGCTAAAAAAGCCCTGCAACCTGTCGTCGTCCAGAAACTGATCTCTTTGCCCCTTTATTGGTTCCGAGCTCACAAAGTAAGGAAAATTAAAGAACGGAGAACAGTTGAGGATCTAGTTCCACCTGAATTTGGGGGTCAGTGAGTGTGCACGAGCGGAAAATAGCCATTTTCCAACTCCGCCTGCCTCCACCCCTCAAATACAAATTTTACACGTTGCATAGGAAATGCACAAGGTCCGGAACGAATGCATGAATGCCCCAAGGAATTAAGAAAGTCTGCGCTTTTCATTCTAAATGCTAATGGAGCTTCGCTTCTATTAGCCGCGAGTTTCGGGGGCCAGGGGTCAAGCAAACAAAAGGACACAGTGGAAAGAAGGCCCGCGCTGGAAGCCAAGCGAGGATGGGACGGCCTTCGCGGCTGGTGGGGCGGGCGGAGGGAGGTCCCCTGGATGCAGCAGGCGGTGTCCCAGACCGTGGGCGGCTTCCAGGCTCCGGACTACCCTGCAGCCCGATGAGGGACACATTCCAGAGGGCGCCCTGCGCGGCTCCCGGACGAAAAGTCTCAGCGCACTGCCTAGCGAAACTTTGCAGCTGAAAGCGCGGCTTGGCTGGCCTAGGGGAAAGGATCCGGCGGCCCCAGACTCTGGTCTGTAGCGCCCCCTTTGCTGGGGGTGGGCACAGCTTGAAAAGTAGGAATGTGGACCCCTAAGGTCCCCCAAACCAAACGCAAAACCTCCGCGGGTATGTGGGCCACAAGGGTCCTGTAAATTTTGTCTCCAGACACTCTTGGGTCTGGAGGTTGGCTGCAGGGGCGAAAGGGGGACGAAGCCCCCAGGTCTGGGACACCTTCGACGGCCAGGAAATGGGGGATTCCCTTGCCACCCCCAGACTGAGCTGCTACGACGGAAAGCTCGCGCTTACTGTAGCGCTGGCACGGAGGATCTTTCCACGACTGTAGCGTGGGCCTCTAGTCCCCAAGCATCTTCAATAGGTGTCTTCGGCAACTCTCCCACCCCTCCTCCAGTGGGTGCCGGGGTTCCCACCCCTCCCCGGGGGCCTTTAAGCGCAGCTTTTCTCCAAGGGCCGGCCTCTGAACTCGTGTGGACCGGGTTCGCGCCTCCCCAAGGAAGGAGTTCCTCTCAAGAGCCCAGCGCTCTTGGGAGAGAGCGACACCACCCTTCCTACAGCCCAGACCAGCGCCCCACCGCTCACTCCGCCCCCCAAACGGCCGGTATCCTAGGCAAAGCCTTCGCGCCTGGAAACACGTTCTGCCGCTCCTGCTCGCGGCCGCCGGGGCCGGCAGCACAGAACCTCGGGGTTGTAAATTAGGAAGCAATAACTACCTCTGTCAAAGCTCCTTTCTTTCTCGTGGGCAGACGAAAGGAACACCCCCGTGTTCCCCTCCCCGTGGAGAAGTGTGTGGAGGAAACCGTGAAACGCAGCATTGTGACCGGAGCTCCTCCGCGGAGTTTCCAACCCGGGGGAGCGGGGGCGGAGGTTGGGCGGGGGCAGGAGGGGTGGAGGAGAGACTGACAGAAAGGGAAAGACAGACTCTCAGAAACAGCGAGAGAGACGAGGCAAACCTTGGGGGAGAATTTCGGCGAGAGGGGATAGGGAGCTGCCGGGGCGGGGGGTGGGGGGCGATGGGAAGGGTGCGGTAGCCTGAGAAGTCTTTGATATTCACGGTATGCGCATCTTGTTAAGCTAAAGTAACTGGAATAAAGTAATTTTCATTCATTGTGCTCTGTATCTGCGTTGTGCAGCTTCCTTTCCCCAATTCCCTGTCGTGGGAAAAGGAGATTGAGGATTGGATTTGCGATGGAATGACCGAACCTCCCGGGCACCTCCCTCCGGGCAATCCAAGGCCCTGGGATAACAGCCCGAGATTTCTGATTACCAAACTCTTTGCAGCTCTTCCCTCTGGAGAATCCGGGAGCATAAGTAAAAAAGCAATCTCCAGGAACGTTCTTGGAAATCAAGGGACCAATGCTGTCCCCCTCAGAACTGCTCAGGCTTCCAACAGGTTCCAGAAAGTGCCTTTGGAACTCAGTCTCCGCAGGCTGAGCTCGAATGACCGCTCTGCTTTCGCGACTGAGAGCTTTCATTTCTAATATAATACACTTAAAGCAACTTCTCCAAAAGTGCGCGTTCTGCCAGTAACAAGTAAAGCATGCCTTTCTTACACCGAGCCAAGGCCAAAAGGAGAGGTCCCCAAGAGATGCCCAGGCGTGTTGAGGTGCGGGAGTCGACAATTACCACTGATTACCTTCGAAAGGAAAAGTGTAAACCCGTAAGTCGGCGACGCCAGGCAAACGTGCCTAGTGTAGCCCCAGGTTCATTTCAATACAATAAGCCACATTCCTACAATTACGCCCGCTTTCCAGAGATCCTCTGAGCGCCTCAGCAAACTCCGGCCATTGCTGCCCAGGCCTTTACCCTCCTAAGCTTTCTCCCAGACAACCAGCTTTGTTCCACTATTAGGTACATTAACTTGGATCCACCAGAGCTCCTATTTTCAATCCTACTAAAGGCAGGAAAATTACTGCCGTTCATCACCGGGGCTGCAACTCCCAGCCTCTGCCGCTGCCGCCGCCGCCGCCGAGAGCATCATTACCATGACAACTAGAGCCGAAATACCCTGAATTACATCGCCGGAGCTGCTAGTGCACAAATCCCGGTCTTCCTCTTTGTTAGAGGCTTTTTGCCTCTTTGGGTGGGGAGAGGACTCCCACCAGCTCCAGAGTCCCCGCTAGCCTGCTACAGGGGAAAAGTTTTAGATCAGAACCCACGGGCCGCTGAGCGAGCAAAGCCAGCGTGGAAAGGCGGGTGCGTGTGTGTGGGGAACCCCGCACTCAAAGTTGTCAATTTTGGGAGCGACGCTTCCCAACGCGCCAACTTTTTAGCAAGTCCCCTTATTAACTGGGTAAATCTCATACATACTTGAGTGCTGTGGCGGTTCCGTCTTTAGAGCGAGTTTCTAGAGAGCTGCCCCGAAATCTGCACTGGGGGGTAGTCACGGCTGCTGTCCCGGAAGGGCTGCGGTGCACGAGCCCAGGGGCTCCCAGAGACGGTGAGCTGCTGGTGAGGGATGCTGTGATCCCGACTCATGGGAGAGCGCCGCTCAGAGGTTCCCCCGGCGTCCTGGTTCTGGCTGCGACCAAGGGGGAGGATGCTGCCGCAGCTCCCACCTCCACGGCCACCGCCAGCGCTGTCAGCGTCGCCAAGTGAGCCTAGGAGGGGCGTCCGGCTGCGGCGCGGCGGCGTTGCAACGGCGAGGGCGCAGGGCAAGAGGGGTGTGAGCGCGCGGGAGAGTGGAGTGTGTGTGCGCGCGTGTGTCTGTGTGTGCGAGTGAGGGAGCGGGTGTGAGCGTGTCTGTGTATGGGCAGCGGAGGAGGAGCAGGAGCTGGAAGGGTGGGGGGCGGGAGGCAGGAGACTCCGCTCTCCCGGCTGCGCGTTCGCCCGCTCTCTCGGCACGTCATTTATGCCACAGGAGCCCTAGCGGCCTCTCCATAGAGTGCCTGGAATGCGAGACGTCAATGTGACGCCATGGGACGCTACGTCACCCTCCTCTTCCCTCCCCTGGCCCAGCCGGTTCCGCGTGTGCGAGGGAGGGTGTGTGTGTGTTTGTGTGTGTGTGTGCGCGCGCGCCCGTTCCTCGGCCATTCGCACCGCCGCACCACGGAAACAGCTCCCAGCTGCCAGCCCAGATCCCGGGGGTTTGTCGGACTCGCGCTGTGAACCGCTCTGCTGCGGCGCTGCTAGCCAGGGCGCGCGTTTTCGGGAGGGCGCAGCGGCCCGCCCGCGGGTCAGGCGGGACCGCCCAGCTGTCAGGCTCGGGTGGAGTAGAGTTGGAGGAGTTCTGCTGGCGCGCCTCCGAGGCTGCCCCGAGGCACCGAGCCAGGGCGAGGGGGTAGGGGAGAGGACAGCTCTTCCGAAAGGGAAGGCTCGGCCAGCCAGCTTCTCCGAGTGACCTGGCAGCCGCTGCTGGAGGAGTCTGGCACCAGCCCGAAGACTCCCTGAGGTGCAGCTGCACTTCCCTCCCGCAGTGGTTCTAAAGCTGTTTACGTCCCTCAGGTCCTCTGTGCCTAGGCTAATTCGCCTCCTCCTCCCTCCGACGTTAGGTACACGTTTAGCACAGGGATGCAGATGGCTTTAGGGGTTTTATTTCTTTACATTTATTGCGCGGGTTTCCTAACTGGACACATAACCCAACGAAATGCACATCCGTCATTCACGCGCACGCTGCAGCAGAAACTATTTAATGTGTATAAAACAAACACACGTGTTGAACAGCTGAGCGAGTGTGACTGTTGCAAATCATCCCTCCTCCCCATCACTCTGTCAGAAATGGAGCTCTCAACTCGTGCTTTCACTTTTTAAAAAGTTGTAGGAGCTCCCTCCAGTCTCTCAAATGAAACATTTCAAAATCAATCAACAGGATTTATTTGGCCAGTCCCTAGCTAGGGGATATTTTCCTGACTCCGGGGACACATTTATCTTGAAATAATGTGCTGAGAGCCTGGGCGACATAAAATGTATGCATTTTCTCCCCTGGAGATGAGTTTTAAGTGTTTCTTACTGAAAACAAAACAAAATTTATCAGAGTTAAAGACTCCCAGTTTCAAAGGTTGCTGCTGAGTGATAGCAGCCTCTTTCAGAAATAAAATTTTGAGGAGAAAATATTTGAGTGAAACAATGCAGACAGACATGGTCCCCACGTGGTCCACTTCAATCACGTGAGACATTTTATTTTGTCCCAATCTTTGCGTGCTTGTGTATGTGTGTGAGGACGGTGGTAGAGTTGAGGGAGAGGATCCCTTTGTGGAGAGCACGTTTCAGACTCTAACAAGGTTCGAGGTATGATCAGAGACTTAAAAACAATACTATCATCTTATGGCACTTATCTTTCTTCGCCTCCACTTTCACTTCAAGCAGGGTGGTGTAGAGATCTTGGAAAGATGCGCCAAAAGTTGATCCAGGCGGGAAGAACCCAGCCTCTACACCGCGCAGGTTCCAATCCAGTCTCAGAAGGAATGAGGGCGCTGCTACATTGTATCCATTCAAAGGCTGGCAGGGGGAGCAGGACCTGGAGCCGCGCGGCGCTGACGCACGCGAGGCGCGTGATTGACGCAGGCGATGTTACTAAATTCGGCGGTTGGCCTGGCCCAGCCGCCGGCGCGCGCCGCAGATAGCGGAGTAGGTTCCCCTTGGTCACCCCCGCTCTCCTCCATTCAGCGACGCGCGGGGCGGGGAGGGGCGGGGAGGGGCGGGGCGAGGCGCGCGGGGCGGGGCAGAGCGCGCGCGGCCGCGCCGGGATCCGGCCGAACCAAACATAGAGTTTGGCCTGGCTATTTTTAGCGGGGCCTCAGGCGCGAGCGCGCCGCGTGAGGGGGCGCCCTGACCCTGCCTGCAGCTCGGAGGGGGCGGGAGTGGCGGAGTCGCCATCTTGGACTCGGCTTGACCCTGTCTGGTGACCCGCGAGGCCGGGCCGGGCTCGGCGCCGGGGGTCAGGGTGAGTGGGTGTGAGCTGTGGCGAGAGGGGGCCCGGGCATGTGTCATTCCAGCGAGCAAGCTCAGCCGAGGGAGCAGGACTAGGCGCGGGGTCCGTTTTGAGTGGCGGCGCGGGCTGCGGAGCGGGGCGCGCGCGTGCGCGCGCGTTAGGTGCAGGGACGGTGATTCCCGCCCGCTCTCGCTCCCTCAGCAGGCGCGGCGGTCCCACCACCGGTCGGCCCGGCCCGCCCCGAGTCGCGTGGGGGCGGAGTTGCCCGCGGCCACCACTTCCTGAGAGCCGGGGATACCCCTCCCGGACGTCACGGAGGAGCCGAGGCGGCGGTGGCGGCCCGGGGCTTATCCTGCACTTGCATCACGGGTGCAGCAGCAGCTGCTCTGCTCCTTTGTGGCTTTTTCCCCTGTTGAGTAACTGCTTTGTTAACTGAAAATACCATGACGGGCCAGTGTGATCACCAGCTCCAGACCTCAAAGAAAGTGAAGTTGTCAGGCTAGAAGAGGGAGACTCCCCCAGCCGGCTGCGATGGTATCTGGTGGGTGGGTGTGTAAAGCACTTGACAGTTTCCACGTATTGCTTCTTGCCTAACTCTTCACCCTCAAGAAGGTTTAAAAATACTTTTTATTTCCATGCTGTAAAAACTTCATCTGTGTTCTGCACCCCACCCATTCCCCATTGGGTTTAAAATCTCATGCAGAACTGGAATCACTTTGTAGGAACCCTAAAATTAGGTACAGTTTTTAGGAAGCATGACATTTTGCAATGAATTTATTGAATAAGCTTCGTTTTCTGACTGTTAATATATGAAAGGTCCTTGCCTATTCAGGGTCCTTATAATGCAACCAAGTTGGTTCATGTAAATTGGGCTCCAGTGAGTTTCAAACTAGTAACCTTGTTTACGTTAAAAAATCCACCCCTGGCTGAGAAACTTCTGGTAAAGCATTTTTCTCTTTGATTAGGTGTGCCCTGGAGACCACTATTTTGGATAGTACTGTGTAGCCTCCCTCCTATTTCTCCCACCCATCAGCTTCTTTTATATCCTTTCTTTCCGGAGTGTCAGGGGCTGATTGACACTGCTGAGCCAAACTACGGTTACTCTCCCCTTGCTCCTCTTGGTAGGAAGTGGACTGACTGTTCGTTGGAGAAGTTCCAGTGGTCACTGATAAGTGGCAGCTTTTTTATACTCAAATGGAAAGTGTGGAAGGAAAAACAAGGCTGTCTTACAAACTAGGACACTATCTTCTGCTTAATCCTGTGTCCTTAAACATAATTCAATGACCCAAATGAATTAATTTTTCTGTTTTCCAAATTAATATCTACTGTGTGCATTTTCAAAAGTGTGATTTACTAGGAATCAGGCATAATAATTCTGTAAGGCTTATATAATATGACTGTTTCAGTAATTACATTATTTTTGGTGACCATATTTTTAAAGTGAAATTTAATACTTTATAGTTAAGTCTTTTTCATTTGGGGAAACAAATAGAATAAAGTTTCCCTAATCTGTAACATGTTTAAAACTTTCTTGGTTTGGTCTGTTTTTCTAGTGGAGGGAATTTCTTTTCTAGAATGTGGCCTAGTTTGCATACATAAAATAAAGGAAGCAGTTTCTGCTCTCATGTTGCTCTCAGCAGCCAATCTGTTAAAAACTCTTTCTATGAAGTAACTATTACAGATTCACTTGATAACTACCTTTCATTTTGTTTTGGTTTTGTAGGCCTAATCTACGTGCAGGAAAGAAAATATTCTTCTCAGAGAACAAAATGTGAAATTTTGGGGAAATTTTTGTGTGTGATATAAAGCAATTGTTTTAACAAAGTGAGGGTTTAAAAATTGCTTAAAATGTTCTTTTGATGAAGCAGTAAAAGGAAATCTTGGTTTTGCTAGTGTGTAAGGAATAATGATTATTCTTATTAATACAAAGATAGGATGAGGAAAAATGAAATAAAAATTCCAAGCCAGAAGTTGCTACCTAACATGAAAATAAAAGGGGAAGCCCAAGAATTGTAAATCGAGATTTTCTGAAATAAAAAGTTCTATACTATATTTAAGATACATACATAAAATTTAGTAGTAACTGACATATATGCACTTAACATGTACCTGGCTCAAGAATCCAGGACTATTGTAATTTTCTATCTGATCTTCTTTCGTACTCTCCTCTCTTACGAATTTTATCATTAGTCTTCCTAAAATACAACTTTTGTTATATCACTCAGCCTAAGAAGTTTCCAGCAGCTGGATATTATCTGTAAAATATAACCAAAGGCCACTCAAATTTCCGCAGAATTTCTCTGTCCTACTCAGGCTGTATCCTATTGTTCTTCAAACATCCTTTCAGCCTCCCACATTTGCTTGTAGTTTTCCTTTTTATGGTATTCATTCTCTCCCTCCTTGTCCACTTATAGAAATCTTACCCTTCCTAAAACTAGCTGAAGAAGTGAACTCAGATTGTCTTTCATTAAATTCTTACTTTACTGCCTTCTTTTTGAATACTTGTGTTCAGATCCTATAACCTTGTCAAGCTTGAAAAACGATGCATTACACATCTTTGAATTTTCTCTAACATCTAATAATATTCAGCATAGATAGAGTAAATGTCCATAAAATATTGGCTCATCTAACTTGAATATGAATAGAGCAGTCATAAGTAACAGATTATATGTATTAGAATATTATTGGCACAAATGGACTTATATGAGGTCGTACATTATTTTCTTTGCCTGAACTTTTGATATTCCTGATTGAACATCCTATGTCAAGGTGTCCGCCAGAAGTGCAGACAGCTTTGAGGTGATACAAGGAAATGGCAGTTTGGCTTGTTGCGTAGGCAGATTTGTAACATCTTTAAAAAAATGTTTTTTTTTCCTGGTAGACTTTTGGTTTGACTCTTCTTCTAACCCCTTTCCCCCTGTTAGCACTTTCTCTTATGCTGCTTTCTCTCGATGAGAAATGCTGAACGCTAGAAAATATTAGT